ATGACCGTATCCGGTAACTCACTTTGAAAGGTCGCTAAACGAATAGGCACAACGAGCTGCTGATAGTATCGAATGAATAATACACATTCATCGAAAATACTTACTTATTTCAGTGTAAGCTACTCTATTTAATGTTGAATTTCAGTAGGACTGAGGACAAATGGAACTGTCGGTTGAATCCTACCGATATGGTCTGAAACGGCAACGATATGGAACACTATAAGAAGAATCCGAATTTCTGGATGGTGAATCCCGATGAAACTGACGAGTGCAATGCAGTGGCTATGTGCGATATGGATATGTTTCAGACGCCGCCCCTTCTACTTTGTTAAGCTTAATCCAATGTCAGGGCAGCATAAATTTATCGCATGGGTTGACGTGACCACTACAGTATCCTTACTCTTTATCTTTCTCGTTTCAATCGCGTTCAGATGCCGAGAATGCTGAATTGAAGAGGCATCAAGTAGCCGTTTGATTTCGCACCTCATCGAAATATTCTCGAGAGAAGAAATATTTCTGCAGTTTACAGAAATTTTTTCAATCAACGATTTCGGAATCTTCAATTGCTAGGACGATTCCATACGTTTGCTTCTACTGATGGCCTTCTCGTTGGGATCATTTTTGATTTTTCGATAGCTAGTGTCGTGCTCATTGAGGTCATCACAGCATATTAGGCCTTTACCACGAAAGCTGCACCCACTTATGACCTGCCTGAGGCATGTCATAATAGCCAAGCCTCCATCCACTGTGATAAATTGGTTCTACCTCAAAGCAGTTGCTTAGGAATAGTCGTAACCAGGTTACTATTCACTGTTTTGCATGATTCTAAATCAATGATGGAGAAACACTTGAGTTGAGAGATTGACACTAGAAGTGTTTGCAGTTGTCCGATACCTGTGGTAACATTTCATTGAGAAGATGTCAAAAAGCGGATTCGTGTTGCTTCATTCAGAAAAGAGACTGCGACTAGATGCACTAATTTTTTGCTTTTCTACCGTCCCGAAATAAGTTCCCTGTTAATTGAACTATGCCTTTTGCTATCTCCGTTGATCATCAATCAAATCCACGCTTCAAATCGTTGTTATTTCAGCTGCCATCTAAACTAACGACAACTTTCACTGTCGAATGCAATACACAATGATTCATAATACGAATGAATCAGTTTACTAAATTCATTGTTGTGCATCACTAATCGGAGTAACGATAACAACTTCAAGATGGATAGCCATCACTAGAATCTTTTTCCACAAAGAAAAATATTGACAAATCAATAACATAATACATTTCAATTCATGAATACTTTTTATGTTTGCAGCATAAATTCGTTAAACACAAAAATAGAACAACACTTTGGAATTGTTTAACAAGAGTTACAAGTCATTCTGCACACTAACTTTCGAAGCCGTTTTACAATCACTGGCTTCGATAAATTCTGAATAAGAGTCGGATTTCCGTGTTATTCACGTGTTATCGCAATTGTCTTGCTTGTTTCCATTCCATCGATAACAATAAGAATGGTCGTATTTTGAGTGGGATCCTTGATACAAGGATGATCAGTCATATACAATTCACAAAAATGCACTCACCAAATGCGCTTAAATCAACAACCAATCGAGCACATCGTATTTACAGAATCAACATTAAGCAAGTAAATCTCTAGCGTCCACTTTTTTCATAAACACCATAAAAAATTCGTCTTGGCTCGAACGTTTCGATATTTCACCGGCAACACATGCCTGATGAGCACAGATTGCAGAAGGTTATCGTTACTGCTGGCTGAAATAAAGCAACAATCAATGTATTTGCATTCTGCAACTTCATTAAAACTTTCATTTCAAACCCTCAATTTAATGTCAACTGTTTAGCACACTCATTGCCACGTTCGGGTGATCCATTACCCTTTTTGATGGTCTGACAGGCCGCCGTTACCCCCTACCCTGATACAAAAACGTACTACTTCCACGTGTAACGTCGAGAAGAAACGAAAAAAATACAAATTCATGAAAAGCTATTGTCTGTGACACGCTCACTTCAAACTGATTTAGATGGACTCTCATTCTTTTCAGACGCGCTGTATTTACTCCCATAGCTATTACATGCGAATATCGTTCTCTTGATGAGTTTTTCCCATTCACTTCGTCTCATTTCACTTCAC